AAAGGGAACTCTCTTGGTATTGGTTTATCAAGATTGTGAAATAACTTGTCACCACAATTTCCAGTTTCCACACGTTTTATAGATGTTTGATGCGACGGAGTCCCTGCATGTGATTGAGTAGAGTCTCCAGCCCTACTTCCCAGACTCAGCTTCTCCATCTTTCTCGACAGAAGAGTTCCTTTTCTTCCATCAAAAGTATCACCAACAGTAGTACCACTTGTAAAGGCTGGATTGTCTCTGTCACTCATATCTGCATAGTCCTTTATGTTCAAATTCTTCATCAAATCTGGAAGTATATTTTCCGAGCTTCCAGAAAATGAATAGCTATCCTTTTTACTATTTCCAAAGGCAAACTTATACACACAATCGGCATTAGGTGTGTCAGTACTGCGATCCAGCTGCACAGTCTCTTTAATGTTCAACTTCTTCAACTCATTTGGGAGTTCCGATTCCAGGTTTTGGCCCAAAGAACCACCCACATTGTCATTATTCCCCAGACCAAACTTGGTCTTGTCAGTTGCAGTTACATTAAACTTTACATCCTTACCTTTCTCAACAGATTCAGCGTTCTCGGGACCTTCAATGTTCAACTTCATCATATCCTCGGGAAGCTTTGACCCAATGCTTTCATCAATACTAGAATTCTTCCTATAACCATTACCAAAGACGAAACCACCTTTATCCAACACCGCAGCTGAACTCGAACTCACCCTACTTCTTGCATTAAAACTGAAAGCACCCTCTTTGGTATTCAGAAACTCATTGCCACTCCCGATTTTCAAATTCCTCATTTCATCAATCACTCCTTTCCTCAAACTCGTATTAGAATCCCATTTCCCCGAATTTGCATTCGAATCACTCCTATTGGCCCCGAACATTTTTCCTTCATTCCCACTCTTAGGGGTCCCAAATTCCCCAGAGACTGAAGTCCCCGTTTCTAACCCGGATGGGACTGGAATTGAACTCTCCAAATTGGTTCGAAACGGATTGAATCCAGGACGAAACCCAGTTTCTGGGGACTCTGGGGGTTTAAAATTCTGAGCATTCAAGCCTCTTCTCACCTTCACAAATCTCGGTCTCGCAAGACCGGACCCCTGCCGCGAAAGGGACGAGGTATTGAAGCCAAAATTGGAGTTTATGTCGTTAGAATTCGAAAAACCAGAAGTTACATCACCAGCATTTGATGGGTTCATGGTGTGGGACAAGCTTTGATATTGCTCGGATTGATTTTGCAACGAGAACCCAGAAAAGTCGAACGAGAAAGGGTGAGAAATCTGACCGTTATTGAGGTTTTGGTGTTGTTGGGTGTGCGCCGGAGCTCTGGTCTCTAGCAACGGCGACGACATGTCAACGTGGGAGTCATCAAATCATACGGTTGCGGATTGAAGATCGTGGTGTTGATCAAACCCTGGTTCTGATCAGCAAAAATGCAAAATGTTATATATACAAAAATTTGGAAGATATTGGAAATTGATTTGGGTATATATGTGTATGATTAGAAGGTCAAGGTTTTGCGTTTTTGCGTGGATGCGAGGTATAGTTGTATGCCTTCGATTATAAGAAACAGAGAGCAAATGGAGGTTATTTTCATTTCACGGATTGCAGCACGGGTTCTTGCGTCTATCTCTATGATCCTCTCATGGCTTTTTCAAAACAAAAAAAAAAGTTCACCTTTGTTTTCATTACTCTGCTTTGTTTTCCTTTCATTTCCTTTTTTGGACTCTTTTCTCTTTCCTTTTTCTATTTTTGAGTAAATCTTTATTTTTCTTTTCATCCATTTTCCATGAGGAAAATAAAAATAGAATTTGGATAAAAGTTCAATTTTTTATTTTAAAATTGACATGCATCAATTTAGGGCTAGAATTTTAAATCGAAACACTGCCAAATCGACCGAACCGATTCAAATCGAACCAATTGCTTAATTGTTTGATACCGCCCTTCACCAGTTTGGTTTTCGATTTGATTTTTCAAAATCATCGGTACGACCGAACCGAACCATCAATTATTAAAAAGACGGTATATTGATAAGGTTTGTGTAAAGGGGATTCCAACCTTGACCACCAACTTGAAATACAGCAACTCCACCACCACTATAGTAACATCACGTTGTTTTCATAAAATGAATATATTTAAGAGATTTTCAATGCCCATTGAAATTAAAAATATATTATATTATATTTAGGATTTCTTTCCAAATTAACCCCAGCGTCTTATCTCTCGTCATTCGTCATCTCCCCTCTCTCTTCTTCTTCTTTGCCTATCTTCTTCTTCATCTTCTTCTTCTTTTTCTTGAGGCGGCATTTTTTATTGACAATTCGAATTATCGACCAAACCGAACCAAATCGAACTAGCCAAATAGAACCATACCAAAACGGCCCATTCAATTTTTTCCTTCATTTTCTCCATTTTGACAACAAAACCGCCCAATTTTGGTTCAGCTCATGGTTTTATTCATCCACCATCAGTTCAAATCGAAGTTGGAGTCATGACGTTTGAAACCCTTGACCTTCAATCTCTTATGTTTAGCATTTTACCAATCTCTTATGTTTAGCATTTTACCACTAAACTAATAGTTTTCGTGTGCAAAGTTTATATAACAAATATATTTAAGGGTTATTCATTAGATAAAAATACATGTACATATATATATAATATATATAAGCTTCTATTGAGGGATCTCTCAAATAAGTTATTTGGGGGACACCCTTGTAGAGCCCACTCCGTATTGTATTTTACTAATAAAAAATGTCTATTTATAGATATTCATTCAAAAATCATCTCTACAAAAAAAAAAAAAAATCACTTCAATCTAATATCATTTGACCACTCAATTGGATTATTGAAATTTTAATATTTTCTTGAAGCACCATGTTCATTGATTTTGTAGAACAAAATTAGATGTTGAAACAGTTTTCGATTTGTCTAATTTTTTGCGAGGATAATCTATGAATGTAGACTTAAAAAATAGATAGTTTGGATCGTTGAAAACAAATTCGTAGGGGGGCCCTAAAAGGTGTCCATCAATATTTCAGGGATCTCTCAATAGAAGGGACTATATATGTATATATGTATATATATATATAAGTGTTAGGGTTTATAAAATCAAATCGGTCATTGTCCCTTCTCTAATCACTTTAATTTCTAGGGTTCTATTGCAATGGAGCCATCTCTCTCTCTCTCTCTCTCTCTCTCATCTCCCTCTTCTTCTTCTCCCTCTCTCTCTTCTCATTTTTCCTCTATCGATCTCTCTATTTCATCTCCTTCATCTCCGTCTTTGTCACTCTCTCTCTTCTTCGCATCTCTCTCTCATCTCATTCTAGACTACTATAGCTTCTCCACATCCAGACAACGCATGCCACTACTATCTCTCATAATGTTGGTCCAGGGCCGGTTCAGGGTCAGTCCATTGATTTTGGAGGCCCTATACAAAGAGAGATGTTGAGAGTCTATATAAACAAGTTTAAAAAACTCACAATCAATAAATAGAACCAAAAACATCCTTAATTGCATGAATTACGCCATAATCCATAAATAGAACCAATTCCATCCTTAATTGCATCAACTACATTTATTTTCCCATATTGATAGTCCACTCAATTGTCTTTTACATTTATTTTTATTTTATTTTTTTAAAATGATGATAGTTCATAAACTAACCAAAAAAAAAAACAGCAAAATGAAGCTACAAACACAAGTATTGAGTTAAAATGATGATAGCATGTGAAAAGGGCGAGTCGTCGTGTTCTAGTATTGTCGAAGACAGAAATAAATTTTTGGGCAAGTCGAAGAGAGCAAGTGCTAAGCCTTTGTTGTCGAATGAGTGGGAGACGTACATACATCATGTAGGGCAGAAGTTTGACGGTGGTGCAGAGGAGTTCTGTTTGAAATTGTGCAAGTACGCTCTTGAAGTAGGATTTAATTTTTTATATGCCGGCAATGACAAGAAGCGGGTGGTTGCTATTTGTTCGAATAAGAAATTGGAGGGTTGTAGCTGGCGTGTTTATGCTTCTCGTTGTGAAGCTACTGGCTGTTTTGTAATTCGGACATTAAATAATGTGCATACATGTGTGGGTCGGATACGGGAATCAAAGAGTAAGATGATGAGGTCTCGTGTGGTGTCCTCCCTCATTGTGGACAGAATTCGTGCAAAACCAGAGCTGAAGTCAATTGAGGTTATACACGAGTTCAAAGATTATTATGGTATAGACATTACATACTACCATGCATGGTTTGGCAAAGAGTTAGCTAAATTGAACGTTCACGGTGATGAGTCGAAGTCCTTCAATGAGTTAGTGTGGTATGCGGACGCCGTAAAGGAAACTAACCCTAGTTCTCTCTGCACTCTTGAATGTGAAGCTGGAATTAATCTCTTTAGACGGTTTTTTGTGTCGTTTGGCGATTGCATTGCTGGATTTCAATATTGCATACCCATGTTGTTCATTGATGCTACGTTTTTTAAGAGCAAGTACAAGGGGCAGCTTCTCTGTGCTTCCGGAAAGAATGGAAATCAAGGTATGGTTACTGTAATGTATTGCAGATTCATTTGTTGCAAGCAGTTTCTTGTTTCATAATTTGATTTTCCTAATAATTTTTGTATGTCTGTAGGAATGTTGCAACTGCTCATGAACTTAAATATGTTTTAAACTTAGTTTTAGTACTTGGATTATGGATTTGCCTTTTGGTTTCCTTTCAAATTTGAGCAGATTTGTTTTCAAAAACTGCACTGCAATTTCCCTTTTTTGCTTATACTTGTGCTTTTGGTTTTGTTTTGCATTATCCTCTAGCTTTTGGAGTTGTTGATTCTGAGACAGAGGAGAATTGGACTTGGTTTCTTCAACATTTGGCTTCTATTTTGCTACCGATGGGGAGAGTGGTGACCTTTTTCTTGGATCGCAATCAAGGTTTGTTAAATGCAATGGGGTCTGTGTTTCCTGGATGGCCTCATTCTTACTGTTACTATCACCTCAAACAGAATTTGATATCGAAGTACCCGAAGTCAGGTTATGGGAAATTGCTCCAAGACCGTGTTATCAATTTATTTAGTAGATGCGCATATGCTATTACAGAGGAAGTGTTTACGGTAGCAATGGAGGAGTTGGTGATTGTTGGGAGTTAGAAAGTGAAGACATTTATATCTGATTTGTCTAGAGATCACTATGCCAACGCATATTTCAAAGGAATGCGGTATGGGGAGATGGCAAGCAGTTTAGCAGAGTTATTTAATAATTGGGTTGGTGTGTTTCAAGATTTGCTGGTGCTACCTTTGATAGAAGGGATTCGACAAAAATTGATGGTATTGAATTCTCAACGACGAATTGAAGCGAAGAAGTGGACAACAATTTTGTGTCCGGAGATGGAAACTAGACTGTGGGAAAATGCAGAGGCCGGTAGGACTTGGGTGGTTCGTCTTTCTAGTTTCACTGTTTTTGAAGTATTTGCTGATTATTCTGTGATTGTTGATCTTGAGCAAAGGACTTGTTCTTGCCGTTTTTGGCAAATTGACGGTTTTCCTTGCACGCATGCGGTGGCTGCAATTCTAGCAAAGAAAGATTCAGTTTATGATTACGTGGAGTGTTACTACAGGACTGACTTCTTTCGAAAAGCCTATGAGAGTCCTATTGTTCCTATTCCAGATATTGGGAAAGGCTTGAGCAGCAACATTTTTGCAGGTGGCTGCAATTCTAGCAAAGAAAGATTCAGTTTATGATTACGTGGAGTGTTACTACAGGACTGACTTCTTTCGAAAAGCCTATGAGAGTCCTATTGTTCCTATTCCAGATATTGTGAAAGGCTTGAGCAGCAACATTTTTGCAGCTGGAGTTGTGCTTCCGCCAATTACAAAGAGGTCAGCCGGAAGACCACCAACAAAGAGGATCAAAGCTTTTGGTGAATTTAAAAGGCCATTGAAATGCAGTCGGTGTAGTGTTACTGGGCATAACAGGAAGACTTGCAAGGCTGTGATATGAACATTCCTTCTCAGTTGACGATTGCTTACGTTAGATACGATTTAGTGAATGTATAGTCAGTTTCTGCATTGCACTTTTTGCAAAACCTGCATTGCAGTTTTAGTTGCTTTTAATTGGCTACACAGCTTCTAATTGGATATTATGATTCTTTTTTTATGTTAATGAAAATTATACAATTGTTTCATGAGTGGATATTCATTTTTTACTACCATTGAATGCTTATTTTTAGATTTGAGCATATTTGTTGCAGAAACTGCACTGCAGTTTCTGTATATTTGTTGCAGTTTCTTGTCCCATAATTCAATTTTAGAATACTTTTTGCTAGTCTATGGGAATGTTATAACTGCTCATTGAGCTAAATGTGTTTTGATATTAGTTTTAGTACTTTGATTATGCCTTTACTTTTTGAGCAGCAGTGCAGATTTTGACCAGAAACTGCAATGCAGTTTCTTCTTCGATAATTCAATTTCAAAATAATTTTTGCAAGTATATTGGAATGTTACAACTACTGACCTACTTAAATGTGTTTTGAACAAAGTACTTTGATTATGGCTTTGGCTCTTGGGTTCTTTTCACATTTTTTGAGCAGATTATTTATTTATTTATATAAACTGCACTGCAGTTTTAATTTGTTGCAGTATTTGACCAGAAAATT